AAAATAATTGATACAGAGGAAAATAATTGATACAGAGGAAAATAATTGATATAGAGGAAAATAATTGATATAGAGGAAAATAATTGATATAGGGGAAAATAATTGATATAGAGGAAAATAATTGATATAGGAGAAAATAATTGATATAGAGGAAAATAATTGATATAGAGGAAAATAACTGATATAGGAGAAAATAATTGATATAGAGAAAAATAATTGATATAGAGGAAAATAAAGTAAGTTTGAAAAGAAACCCTGAAATTCAAAATGTAATCGAGCAATTTTTGATTTCCACACGCATTGTTGTGAGATAAAAACTACTTGAGTTTCAAGGTTGCAAAGTCGTCCAGTAATATTGCTAAAATTTTACCTTGTTCTGTATATTTAAAATTGAGCGTAACTCTCATGGATATTGTCTATTCTAGGTGGAAAACCTGAATGCCAAGCTGGCTGTGAAGAACAGTAAAATTTGTCAGAAGTGTACCAAGTTCAAAAAACAGGTTTCTATCAATTCATTTATTCTTGAGGTCATACTTTTTTCAATTGTGATTGCGCAGCCTAGGTATTGTTGAGATATTTAAAAATTTCAATATTGTATCACGGGTCCATATAATTCCATCTGATCAATCCCAAATGTTGATTGATATTAGGGGCAGAAATAAACCATGTTGTTATTGTAAACAATTGGAACTATAATGTCAAGTTGTAGAAAAAATACCATACTGCAGAATGTTTACTGCAAGGGAGTGTTTATTTTTCTGTATATCATAATTTATCTCTTATAATATTTACATCTTTAACACTCCAAATACAGTACACATTTCTGAAGTGTAGTACGCGTAAACAAAAACTTGTCAAAGTTCACAATGACATATAAAGTGTACTTTCATGCCCCTAGATGTACTTTTAACCCCGATCCCATTTGGGAACAGAAATGGAATTATAAGGACCCCTGTGTTGTATCAATAATTGTTTAAAGTATTTTTTAAAATCTTATCAGCCCTCTGTAAAGGGTTTAATGCTAAGGTTTCTGATTATTCTTTTTTAAATGGAAATTTTGAAGAAAGAATATAAATAAATAAATAAATGGATAAATGGATAAATGGATAAATGGATAAATGGATAAATGGATAAATGGATAAATGGATAGATGGATAGATGGATAAATGGATAAATGGATAAATGGATAAATGGATAAATGGATAAATGGATAAAAGCAGGCTAGATGTAGGAGAGAAAACATTTGGGTAATAAGTGACTTCATTATAAGTTTCATGAAACAAAAGCTGGCGTACAATTAGCGAATTAAGTGAGAAATTAAGGAAAGTTTATTTTAAACCTTTGTTTACTGTTTAGGTGAAGGTATTGAAGTTGGAATTAAAGAATAAAGAGGTGGAGACACAGGACGGAGACAGTCAAACCACGGAAGAGGATCTGAGGTTAGTAAGGATGCATTTAGTACAGTTGAGACGGGGTAAATAGGGGTAAATATTTTCTTGAAAATTTAATTTAATCCGGAATCCCCTATTTGCTTTATTAATTTTGGGAGACGAAGAACTTGGCGGCTGAAATAAAATTGTTAATTTGTCCCTGCCAAATGGAATTTTAAATCGATCATAACCTACTGGGGAGTGGGGATATATAACTAATCTTATGGAGTAGGAAACAGGTTTGTTTTGACGTGGTGGAGTTTGGTATGGTATGGTATGGTGTAAGGGAATGTTTAGTTTGGGACGAGGGATTAGCAGTTCTAATTCTGTTGTGTAGGCAGGCGGCCTGGATTTTCCAGTACAAGCAGAATACAACACCAAGGATATCCTCTACTCAGCAGGTCAATTTACTTCAGTTAATTAACCACTTCTCTTTAATTTGACATTTTATATCACAAGATTTTACGTTTTTAACCCAGTCTTCTTCTGTCTTCTGACAATTTTAAAATTTATAGATTATAAATGGTTACTTCCGGTNGTAGTTAGATCTTGCTCATTATACCTCATACGATGGAGAATTGGTTGTCTTTTAAATGATAATGATTTTCTTTAATAGGATGAAAGTTCATTAGTTGACAGTATCCGAGATACTGCAGAACAAGCTCTACTAGAGCAGGGGATGGTGCTAGAAGAAACATCAGGTAGGGGGGTAGAGAAAAAAACTTTTATTACTAAAAAAATTAAAGATCTTGTTCTTTGGTCATATTTCTACATTTCCCGGTTTGTAATATTTAACACCTATATTTACTACTCAGGCCTCGTTGACCCAATTAATGAAGAAGCGTGATAAACTCCGTGCCCAGGGAAAATCTCTGAAGGTTCAGCTCCGACGAGCTCAGGACTGGTGTGAAGAACTCAGGATCCAGGTACTATAATTAAACACTAGAATCTTATACTAAACCTACACTCTTCACTGGTATTGTTATTCCCTTTACAAGTTCATGTTTTCAACTTTATTTTACGGATTATTGTGCAAAGTGACAAAAAATGGTTTTCATCGCTAATTTGGGAAAAATAATTGATATAAAGGAAAATATTTGATATAGAGGAAAATAATTGATATAGCGGAAAATAATTAATATAGAGGAAAATAATTGATATAGAGGAAAATAATTGATAGAGGAAAATAATTGAAATAGAGGAAAATAATTGAAAAAGAGGAAAATAATTGATACAGAGAAAAATAATTGATATAGAGAAAAATAATTGATACAGAGGAAAATAATTGATACAGAGGAAAATAATTGATACAGAGGAAAATAATTAATATAGAGGAAAATAATTGATATAAAGGAAAATATTTGATATAGAGGAAAATAATTAATATAGAGGAAAATAATTTATATAGAGGAAAATAATTGAAATAGAGGAAAATAATTGAAATAGAGAAAAATAATTGAAATAGAGAAAAATAATTGACATAGAGAAAAATAATTGATATAAAGAAAAATATTTGATATAGAGGAAAATAATTGATATAGAGGAAAATAATTAATAAAGAGGAAAATAATTGATATAGAGGAAGATAATTGATATAGAGAAAAATAATTGATATAGAGGAAAATAATTGATATAAAGGAAAATATTTGATATAGAGGAAAATAATTAATATAGAGGAAAATAAATGATATAGAGGAAGAAAAATATTTGATATAGAGGAAAATAATTGATATAGAGGAAAATAATTGATATAGGGGAAAATAATTTATAAGAGGAAAATAATTGATATAGGGGAAAATAATTGATACTGAGGAAAATAATTGATACAGAGGAAAATAATTGATACAGAGGAAAATAATTGATATAGAGGAAAATAATTGATATAGAGGAAAATAATTGATATAGAGGAAAATAATTGATA